GGGGGTCCACAAAATGAAAATAGGGGTCGACGGTATATTTAGAATTGAACCAAAAAGTAAAAAAATACATATATTAGTTTTACATAAGCTGGCTGTTAAATGTTTAATTTTTGCAAGACTTTTGTGTGCTTTTTGCGTCTTAGAATTTGTAGATACTAAATATAACTAAACAGACGATTTAAACAAAGTGTAACACAAATATCGTTTACTTTTCTCGTACTTTTGATTCTGCAACAAGATACTTTGGCCTGGATCTCTTTTAAAAAATCCAAAATAAATTTTTCTTCTCGTTCAACGCATTTGAAGCAATTTGTTTTATACTTCCTGCCTCAAAATAATTGAAGAAGGTTTTCTGCTTTTTCGAAAGGAAATAGTTACATTTTATTAATTGGGATTTGTCTTGAAGAAATCTATTTGTTGTTACCTATTTCATACTTATTTTTGTGCGTAAAAAGTATTTTTGAAAATTTGTTAAGCGTTTTTTTTGCTGCTTTGAATATAACTGCTTAGAATAGAATGACAGCAGTCCTCCAAGTAAAGGTCATTTTTCAATAAAATCTTAAAATAAGAATTTAATGTGTAAAATACTAATCCTAATTTGTAGTTTTCTTGTTATCTTAATCTTCTTATATATAAAAATGAATCGCAAAATGTGTTGGTAAGCGCATTGCTCAACAACGCCCTGGATCAATTTGGCCAATTATTTTTTTAAAAATGTTTGTTGAGTCCAGGATGGTTTTTACGCCGAGAGAAAAGTCGAATAATTGCCGGAAAACCCTAAAAACAGCTCTTTTTTTTCACATACATCTTTACGTTTGAAAGGTTTCGTGAATATTTTGACATACTTTGGAAAAAATGATGTATGTGTGTGCGTGTGTGTGCGGATACAATTTTCGTCGACGATTTCGGGAACCGATCAACCGATTTAAATAATTAAAAAAACATTCGATTCGTATTTATAAGGAGACTTGCTGATTAGATTTTGGCGAAGGCAGGTCTAGCCGTTCCGAAGATACGGGGCAAAAAGGTGCCAAAAACGGTAACTCAGTTTTTAAGAGAACGGAGCGTCCGATTTAATAATAAATAAAACATTTTACTTGTATTGATGAGATGAAGAACTGATTATATTTTTGGAAAGGCAGGTCCAGCGATTATGGACTCTTAATAAAATAATTTAAAAAATGTCATTTGGCGGTCAAACATGTTTTTTGGACATATGTACAATAGTTTTCAGATATTTTATATAGATTTTAATAATGTGTACACATTTTGTATTTTTTTTTTGGGTTCCTTACCAAGATTTTTAATTGCGGTACGGGAAGTTCTAGCAATTTGCTTTAAGGCACGATGTCATGCACCCCATAGATAAATAAGCTTAAGCCATAGACCACCTACAATTGTATAAGTCTATGGCTTAAGCACATTTCTTTTATCTATGCATAAGGATATGCACAATGCACACCACTAGTTTTTATTTTATTTTCAAGCAATGTGACTTTTCGAAAACACTGTTGGTATCAATGTATTTTGACAACTGTAGAAATACTTGATTGTAGGTTAAAGATTTGTATGTTAAACAAAGAATATGCAAAATAAATGAGATTTATATAGAGAGAATAAATTATTATATTTTATCCATTTTCATAAAAAAAACAGATTTTAATTTCTGATAGGCCACGCCGACCAAACTACTGTCTGCCACTAGTGAGTAAGCCAACTATGCTTATTTATCCTATGTATATGCACGTATTTGTGTATATATATCACTGAATTCAATAAAAAGACTAAGTTAAGGTGAGCCACAGTTATTGTTAAAACAATACTGTTATTTCTAATAAATGTTTCTATTTCTGCAGTATGGGTTTCAAGTGTGTAGTATCTACTTGTGGAAAGTCCCGCAAACATGCACTTTGCATCGGTTTCCTCTTTATGTAAGTTAGAGAAGAATGGTTTCGTAGAATGGTGACCCAAAACTGTTGGCAATGAGCCATAAACAAATTGATGCTAAACGACTCTGCACTGACATTTTAGTGAAACTTGTAGATTTCCTGGGAGTTGGATGGGGTCAATTTAAAAATAGGATCTTTACCAACGATTAATATGCCTGGTTTCAATGGTGATCCTTTGGCAAAAGAAAATTGCTTGATGGAAGTTTCTTTTAAATACACACGTAATAATGACAAAGGTATTTATAATAATTCACTGAAGAGCAGAATTGGCACTATTACCCATAATGTATGTGTGCACTGAATTAATTATTTAATATATAATTTAAACCAACTAATAGCATATTCAATACTGGAACCATACATTCTGGTTTGATCTGGATATTTCACCTTGTGTCCAGGGTTTTTCTAAAATCAATATTTGCAACTACCCAACAAATATCTGTTGCAAAAACTCTGAAATCGAATTTTTAGACTACCTGGCACAACAGCAAATTTTAACTGACTAATAATTAATTTTCATTGAAAAATTTGGACCTACTGATTTTAATCCTTAAATATTTGTTACTTTAAATCATAAGGACCCCGAAACTTTTCAGTGTATACTTAATACTAAATAATCATAATATTTCAGAGTCCTGTGTAAATCAGAAATCATCTCAACATACAGAATCTATACCGTACGCACCTGCACCACACCTGCACCTATTCCGCTAGCTGAACCGAGCGGTTAGTTTATGTGAAATGAACTGCTGATATTAATTTATCGTTAACATAACTTTTTTCTTATTTAGTTACAGTAGAAGGAGCAAAATCTACTATAGAATTGCCATTGCCCCTTAGATTGACAGGTATTGATCCTCATTATATACAGAGATTTTTTGTTTTTTAGCTTCATATAATTTAAACACATTAATAAATAAATTATTAACCAATAATTTCAGCTCCAACTACTACAATGTCTTTCGATAAGAGCAAAATTCAATATCGGTGTTCCAAATGCAAATTAACATTTATTCTTAAATCCCAACTTTTGAAACATATACAGCAAATACATATCAACCAAATTAATAGATCTAAAAATAAACTAAAGTATGGCTGCCGAATATGTAGTAAAAAATTTGCATACAGAGAATCAGTGAGATATCACATATCAGAACATAAAGAAAATTTGCAGCCGCTATTTAAAACCAGTCAAGATTCCAATGATTCAGTAAATGAAAAACAATCTGAAGGAAAGCAAAATTTTGTTGAGAATGCATGTTTATTGACTTCCTTTGAATCCTCAAGAGTGAGAAATTCAGATTCTAGTTCTTCATCACATAACATACATTTAAAAAAAAGAAAAACGAGAACTACCGAATATAGAAACATTGTATTCAAATATTTCAGGCATATTTCTGAACCAGCAAAAGGTACTTGTGTCAGATCTTATAGAATTATCAGATGCTCTGCAAAATTATGAACTCAGTTCTGATAAAGTAGAAATGTTTCTAGCAAATTGAAATCTATTATTACATTTGTTAAGACAGGCATTAAGAATAAATAAGTCATAATTACTTTATTGATAAACAATATTTAGAAAAAATTAAATTATTTTTTGTTTTGAATTTTCCTTATTTTAACTTAGTGCCTATTGTTAGATAATTTGGATATTGCTATTTTCTTGGTGACTCAAAGCTCTTCTGGCTGTTTTGAGTACGCTCGTGTAAAGTTATATTTTATTATTGGTCAAAAGTACAGAGTATTTCAGCAATAAATATTATGCAGCAATTAATATTATGTTTTAAATAGTTTTCAATTTTTTTTATTTAAATGTGTGAGTAGCTAGTTATTTGAATCGCATAAAAAAATTATCTGCAAATTATATAAGAAATAAGTCTAAGATTTAGCAAATTCTTATGATTCGCCAGAGGACTATAATATTTTCCATAATTATATGAACTATTTGAGTGCTACTTTAGAATTTACTCACATGTTAATTGTAAACTTTCATGATTAATTAATTTTCATAATTAAATTTAAACTTAAATAAATTTGGATTCACTTTGAATTCATTTACATTTCTTAATTTTATACCATTTTATCTATTTTTATTAACTTCCTGAAGGAGATTAATATTACGAAAAAATCCGATTTGCTAATTTTATGCTTCTCGAAGTTTTGAGTCGGCATTTCTAAGGAACGGTGGAGCGATTAAAATTTCATATTTAAATGAACTTTATTTAAATGATTTAATATTTAAAAGACATTCGATGTAACTCGATAAGAAATTAGTTTTTCATACTGATCGGCCAACCGTTTCTTTGTACAGAGAAGTGAAAAATGTTCGTCAGTTGTCGCTAATCTCGCTTTTTTGGATGTGCAGTTTATCACAGAATTATTGAATAATGAAATAAATAGATTTTCACGTCTTGTTACGAACAGCAGTGTTATTTTAGAATTTACTCAACATGTTAATTGTAACTTTCATGATTATTAATTTTCATAATTAAATTTAAACTTAAATAATTTGGATTCACTTTGATTCATTTACATTTCTTAAGATTTTATACCATTTTATCTATTTTTATTACTTCCTGAAGGAGATTATATTAACGAAAAAATCCGATTTGCTAATTTTATGCTTCTCGAAGTTTTGAGTCGGCATTTCTAAGGAACGGGTGGAGCGATTTAAAATTTCATATTTAAATGAACTTTATTTAAATGATTTAATATTTAAAAGACATTCGATGTAACTCGATAAGAATTAGTTTTTCATACTGATCGGCCCAACCGTTCTTTGTACAGAGAAGTGAAAAATGTTCGTCAGTTGTCGCTAAAATCTCGCTACCTCAAGTTTTTGGATGTGTGCATTTTATTCACAGAAATTATTGAATAATGAAATAAATAGATTTTTCACGTCTGTGTTACCTAACAAGCAGTTTATATAATTTTTCTGGTTGTGTAAGAAATGTTACCATTAATTTAAATAATTATTTAAATTAATATCAAGGACTGAGTACGTACGATATACGTACGTACGTCCATAGTATTTTCTTGTAGCAGCTTCTCCAGCTGCTTAATCGTGCTTAATAGTTTACAAAATAATATGTTAGTTTTCTTTTAAAAAAACGTATTTCAATGAAATTTAACGTGGCGATAAAGTTCGTGCACTAATAGTCGTTAATAATACGAACTATTTACTTATATATGCATGCTTACGAAAATTGGCTGAATTATAAAAATTCATTAAAATCTTGAGAAGGGAAAACTTTATTTTCGAAATACAGTTAATTCAAAACTAAATTTCAGTTGATTAAGTTAATTATGCAACCTGCATTAAGGCAACTTTCAAGTGTTTGACTTCATATTAATAAACAAACTCCTAAAAGCAATAAGGGTTTGTTTATTATTTAAAGTGACGAAAAATTATTGAAAGTGATCAAATTTACAAAAATTTATAAATAATAAGGGCAAATAAGGGCTTACATTTGCTTATTTATCTATGCAAATCTTTATATCCTTTTCTTTTATCTATGGTTTCCGATCTATTTTTACTTGTTTATTGCTATGCTCACGTACTCTGTCATCTAAATTATGGTCTTTGTTATTATCTGTGATTCTGATTGACAGCAATTGTCAGTGAACGTCATTATCCTAGAAAATATAATACATGTATAATACTATGAGTCATTATTAAGTGCATACATTAAATTCGTCATAATTGACTTTCATTCGGATATTATAGTAACACATTTATGTAGTACACTACAGTAATTTATATACATACACACTTCAAATTATTTCTTATTTAAATTTACATATACTTCGAATCTAAATCGTACAGAATGTTTTCCAGCAGTCCAAACTATACAAAGTTAAAAACGCATTTGAGACTGTCAATAAATAGACTAAAATTAATGGAAAAGAAGAAAACGGAATTAACCCAAAAAGCTAGAAGGGAAATTGCAGATTATTTGCAAACAGGAAAATATGAAAGAGCAAAAATACGTGTTGAGCACATCATACGGTATTTGTTTACAGAATTCTTATTTAAAATTAAGTAATGAACAGTTTCATTATTTTAGAGAGGATTATATGGTCGAAGCCATGGAAGTGGTAGAAATGTACTGTGATCTGGTTTTAGCTAGGTTTGGTCTTGTAACTCAAATGAAAGAGTTAGATTCTGGTCTTGCTGAAGCTGTATCCAGCTTACTGTGGGTTGCACCTCGTATGCAATCTGACATTCAAGAACTCAAAGGTACATTTCATTATTGTATTCTATTTAACTATTTGTGCAATGTCCTAATTGGTTCATTTTTTGATTAGTTATTTCAGATATATTAACTGCTAAGTATGGTAAAATGTATGCAGAATCGTGTCGTTCTGATACTATAGGGACTGTTGCAGAAAAGCTCAAACACAAGATGACAGTTCAAACTCCACCTAAATTGCTTGTAGAGAAATATTTAATCGAAATTGCAAAAATTTATAATATTGATTATCAGCCTGATCCAGAAATAATGAGGGAAGATAACCGGCCAATAGGTTTGTAGATTAGAAAGCCCTTTATTGAGTTTGTTTTATATGTATATAACCATGACTTATTCACATATTATTTATTGTCAACATAATAATGATATCATCTTTATATTACATCATTATTATCTAGCATTATTTGATATTGTTGATTTAGTTTTTTTTAATATAGGTACTACATAAACATTTATGATTATTCAAATAATTTCAATTCCCATGGTATTTATTTATATAAATGATTGTAGGTATGGATGCCATGCTAATTGACTTATCTGACAAGAATAATTTAGGTGGAAATTCATACCCTCCAGCACCACAAGCAGGATTTATTGGATATCCTCAACCACCACCAGTACCAGCAGTACCTTCTCTTCCATTTAACTATCCAGAGGTAGGATTTTATAGCAAATTTTAATAATCAAAATTCAACTATTTATGATAGAAATAATTGATTTAATCAATGAATATTTTAATACCTTTATATTTTTATTCCTTATTTTGCTTTGCATTTTACGAGATTTTGAACTGGACTTCAAAAAATAATTTTAGCAGCTATAACTAAAATTAAATGTTTATAAATTATATTTCTAAAATGACCGGTAAACTGTGGAAATTAATTAAAATAATCAGTTTTTTTAAAAAGCAGTTCATAATTAAAATTTGAAAAATTGAACATAAAATAATTGTGCAAATTCTTAGTTTTATTTGATTAGTCTTATTATAATTCAAATGAAATATGTAGTTTGGTTTTAACTTCCCATAGATTTCAACTTCCCAGTTACGTATAGTTTTGTAAGGGTAGTAAATATGCAGGCACATTACATACTTTTTATAATAATATTACATAAAGTCTTGTGTAAAAAAGTTGATCTTATTTTATATATGCCATTCTTACTTTATACATCTTACATTTCCAAAATTTGATATTTTTGGAAAAATATCATGATTTTTAAATTTTTTTAATTATCAAATACACTTTTTAAAAATTCTTGAATTTGTTGACTATATTGACTTTTTCTAATTTATGCAAATTAAATATAAATCAATTTTTGAAATCATTATTTTTCAAATTTGGATTTCATAATATCATATCGCGGTTCGCGTATTTTCGGAATATTTCAGTTCTTGGGCAAACTTCTAACTAATGTCCTGGACATTATAATTATACCCTTTGTTATAATAATTACTGTTGATGCAGTATAACTGGATATGAATATTTGCTCATGATTTTTACATGCATTTTATATGAGGATTGTGAAAATTAATGTTTCAAACTGTAGTCAAGTGTTTTTAATTCACCAATAAATCTTTAAAAGATCTCTATACCAAAAAAAAAACAATCAATAACCTTATTATTTTTAACTTTGTACAACTTATGTTGTACAATATTTAATAACATTATGATTCAACAATATATATTGATGAATCAAATTTATTAGATGAACAAGAATCCCGATGGAAATATATCCGCATTCAATTACAATATTTCACCCAATCCATCTGTACCAGATCTTAAAGAAACAAAAGACATTAATACCAGCTTTTTGCAGGTAATTATGGTAGACGTAATTAATTATCATTTTATAAGTATTTTATTAAATTCATTTCATATATTAAAATTATTCGACCCTCAGGACGAGATAGGAGCAATGCCTCCAGCTTATGATTCATTATGTTCTGACAACATGCAGGTATAATAAATGAATATTTGTATGATTATAAATTTTGTAATGTATTTTAAAACTAGAAGCTAACTCATTTTTCAGGATGGTTCAAAGCCTAAACCTCAGCCTAGATCTAAACTACCACCTAATAATGATAATTATCCAGAGCTACCTATTTTGCCTTCAGTGCCTTCTGATATACCCATTCACCATGCAGATTCTAATGAACCAAAAAATCTCGATGATATAGATTTCGATGATTTGAGTAGAAGATTTGAAGAGCTCAAAAAGAAAAAATAAGACATTTAAAACAAGTAACATTAAACTCGCTTTTTATGCTTTTTTTTTAAAGTAAATAGTTTTATTATTTATGAACACAGGAGCACAATATGAATTTACGTTTTAATTAACCTTACATGAACAGTTATAATTTCAATTTAAAGTTGTTGAAATGTTAATAGAATTTATTTCTATATGCACGAAAATCCTGGTTCTGAACCTGGTACATTATATTGCTTTTATTCCAAAAAATATGAAGATTTTACTATTTTATCCCTGGTATAAATATAGTCAATACACAAATATTTCAGAAATTTTAATATAAATAAATAATCTAGTACATAAATCCCATTTAAATTAGATTTGTGCAGTTTTTGAAACTTTTCTCAGTATTTCCATTTTTTTAATATTTTCCTCCATGGGAATAATAAGATTAATTTAATATTTAATTAAAGTATCTTTGATCATTATGATTATTATGATATATAATATGATTGTTGTATGTTTAACTATTTTGAATATTTATGTAAATAGTAATACTCATTCAGCTTTTCATTTTTTTAATATTATTATTAACCATGTAATGCTGTTAATGCTGTTAATGAAAAATGAATATATATATAAATGGGTCTAACACCCAGCCTGATATTTCTAAATTTAAAATATCCTGAAATCTTTCAAAAAATTACTAAGAAGATTTTTCAAATTTGGAAAATTATGAAAATCTCGTCTTCCGATATTCTTCTTGCATAATAGCAGATTGGCTACAGAAGCAGCGATGACATTTTTTGTTTTTATCAAGTTCAATCCATCGCCTTGAAGTTGGAGATTCATATTATTAAGCAATGCTTAAAAGCCTGTGAGATATGATAGATTATTTTTCGATATGATCAGGTTCCGATGTGATCCATAACAACTCTACCACAGAGTCAAACAGATTGTAAAATCGGGTCAGACAATTTCTTTTTTTGACTTCATAATTAGCGGTACGAAGCTGATTGAACAATCTCTCATTTAAAGAGTTGTTATGGTGGTAAAGGCTTAAGCAGATCTGACGCTAATACGTTTGGATGACGACTTAGACGAGCTTTGTATCTGGTGCTGTAAAGACTAATTTCTTCTTCTATAGTTCGAATTCTGAGATCTTGATGTATCAACGAATTGGGAACGTATTTTGGAGCGTTCACGATTTCTTTCAAAATTTTATTTTGGAACCTTTGTAGAATAGTTATGTTCGATTTACTGGCCGCACCCCATAGTTGTAGGCCGTAGGATCATATTGGTTTAATAATTGTCTTCTATATTAGGAGTTTATTTTCTATTGTGACTTGTGACATCACCAAAGCGTCTCAAAAAAAGAATCTGCAATGATTTACTACAGAATATAACATAACATCTATGAAGGCGCTATCGCAGGATAGCGATCCTTCTCACGCAGACAAATAATATATAACTGTCACAAATGTAGCTGAATGTACTTTGTATAGCTTTCTATGAAAAATAAATCAAAAAAAAAAAAAAGAGTTGTTGTGGATTTTATTAACTGCTCTGATGACATGTTGCAATGCTTGATACAATCGTTCACTTACATTTCTGGCAACAAGATGCTGCCTCACGCAAATGCACAGAAAGAACATTAGGAATTTCATTCAAGTATTAATCTTTCTTGACCGATATAATGTCTTTCTTTAAATATCTAACATGTATACATACTTTTTCATCTTAAATAAACCTCACGTAAGACAAGAACAATGTTTCATCAGTTGGTAAAGTGGAATAATTCAATTGGTGTAAAAGTAGCTAAGACTTCAAATGATTGCACAATGATTTCCAGCAATTTGAATTTTTGATTCATTTTTTCTGATTGATTTCAATTTTTCCAGCCATTTCATTCATTTGTCTTTGCACAGAACTATTGCTCAAAGGAATTTTGATATATTATCTGCCGCAAAATATTATTGATATATTATGTGTATTTGAACTATACAATATGATTTCAAATGATTTTTATTATTTTATTCTCAAATTAATTTATCCTAAATATCCTTTGTATTCATTTCCTGGTTTATGTCGCACAGTAGTTATAACTTATTTTATCGTTGGCAAAATTAACGATTCTCTAATGGTGTGATTTACCTCATAGATAAATAAACATTTAGTTTGAGCAATTAACAGAAGGCTATTGTATGAAGCTCGAAGTCCGTCATCCTGCTTACCAGCCATAAAAAAATGTTTTGATGCAATTGGCCGAGCATTATATTTCTTTTCCAGATTTTGAAATTAGTCTGCATTTTCATCCGTTATGTCTAGAAGTAGTATCAATAAATCAGCCACCAATATAGTTATATCAATGACTCGTTACAACTTGATGATGTATAGTGTTAAGCCATGTCGAAGCTTTCATAATACACAAATAGCCAAAAAGAGTTCAATATAGTGTACAATGTCAATTCAATATTTGACTTTGTAAAATCAATTAGGTTTATCAAGGGTAATTTAGGATTATTAAAATAATTTGTCCAATTCAAAAGCTAAGATTTACAGGAAATATTGTGAAATTAGTGCATAGAAATGTAGTTATAAAGTTTGAATAATATAGTGATAAATGTATATTCGCTAAAAATTAAATTAGAAAACCGTTTTTTAACTTCCCGTAGGGTAAGTTATTGTAATAGGCCGAAAATCGGAATTGAAAATTTTTACATTTCTCGACGTTTTGAAGGTTTCTGAACATTTTGGCATTTTGTGTGTGTGTGTGTATGTATGTATGGATACAAATTTCCAGTCACGTTTTCGGGCGCACGGATCAACCGATTTGAATGGTTCAAAAAACATTCGGTTCATATTAATAGGGAAAAGAGCTGATTAGTTTTTGGCAAAGGCAGGTCCAGCCGTTACGGAGGTACGGAGCAAAGAGTGCAGAAAATAGAAATCGAGTTTTTGAGAGAACGGAGTATCCGATTTGAATGCTCTAAAAAACATTCAATTAGTAATGATTGGGAGAAGTGTTTATTAGTTTTTGGCAAAGGCAGGCCCAGCCATTTCAAAGATACGGAGCTAAATGTGCAAAAAATGGCAGGTTTCGAGTGAACTAAGCGCCCGATTTAAATGATTCAAAGAACTTTCTGCTTGTCTTAAGAAAATGATTGATTTTGGAAAAAAAAAATTAACTTTTTTTTTCAATTTTTTTTTTGTTTTAATTTTTTTTGTATATCGAAAATAATTCAGATTTTATTTTTAATTCTGACTATAGTTCTAATAATATACTTTAAACAAATAATTTCAACTTTGCAATTAAGTTTATATAATTCTTATAAATATTAGACAATGTTACAATATTTATAATAATCTATTTGAAAACATTCAGTATTCCTCGAACATTTCGTTACGGTACGGGAAGTTCCAGCAATTTGCCTTAAGGCACGATGCCACTCACCCCACTGGTTAAATTCGTATTTGCGCTCTCTTTGATAATTAATTTGAATTACGCGAGTATCCAAGATATGAACCAAGTTGCATGGATGGCGCTTTGACAGATTTTGCAAATAACCAAACAATCAAAGTTCAGTTGAAAGGTTAAAAATGGAATTTGATATCATAATGTGACACTTAATAAATTAAACAAAATGTAATAGCAGTTATTGTTAATTAAAATCAAACAAGCTACTTAAATAACATTTATGCCTAAAATGAAAATTGACAACAAATATTTTAATTCAAAACTAACGTTACTTTTTATCTTAACCTAAATGTATGCAAATGTGTATTTGAACTATACAATATGATTTCAAATGATTTTTATTATTTTATTCTCAAATTAATTTATCCTAAATATCCTTTGTATTCATTTCCTCTATTTATAAATTTATGTGCATTTTATAATTTATTTTACTATAAAAGTAAACCATTAAAGTTACAATTGCAAGTTGTTCCTCAAAAGCTTTTTGATATTTTGATCAAATCATCTTCAGACGATAAAATATTATGTGATAAAGAATCAGTTTTTATTGTGTCGAAATTTGTTTATAAATACTTATCGAGCAAAACCAAACATAACTGGGTAAAATTAATACAAAATACAGATGATGACTGCAAGAACCAATATAGAATTGTACCGATCAAAGATTCCTGTTTATGTCCTGTACATAATATTATATTGTCCGAAAATACTTACTTCAACTTGAAAAGATTTTTGAAAGATATTCAGAATCTCGATCATGTTTTATTAGAACCATTTAAAGGCACCATACCCACAGTCGCAAATGATTTGCTATTATCTTTTATTAAGACTCCATTAGAAATTCCATCTGATTTGCAACATACTGCCTTAGGAATTTACTTTAGTTCACCCAAGTTGGTCTATGCTGATGATATATACGAGATTCCTCTAACTAAAGATACTGCAGGAAATGCTTATTTCAAATACATGAATATCTGTGATACATTGCAGTCAATGTACTTCAAATGTGTTACGGTTTCTGGTAATCGAAATCCAGATATAGGCCATTTTATTGTTAAAGAGTTGACAACTATACAAGAACAGCAAAATGTATCATCTTTATTACCAAACAAATGTTCATCATATTACAATGATCATCAAGAAACCGAACAAGATATAGTCAAATATTTTATTGAACATCATCGATATAATATTATAACCACTTGTCCAAATGGTCTAATCGGTTACCATCAAACTTTACTTGACAGTTTACAATCTATCATCAACAATCATTGCTTAGTACACATACAACCAGTATTTTTAATTCAAGGACCAAACGGAGTAGGAAAAAAGATTATTGTTGAATCAGCTACAAGTGTTCTTGGAATTCAGCAGTTTAATGTAGATTGCTCAGAAATTATGTGTCCTACTACAGCACAAAGTGAATCAAAAATTAAATATGCGTTTGAAAGATCTAAAATTGCTGCACCAGTAGTGATGTGCTTACAAAATTTTGAGGTAACTTATATTAGCCTATTTTAATAGCTCAAACATTTTACAAAAATTATTTAGAATTATTTTGTTTGCTAATAACTAAGATGTTAAAATGTAAAAGATTTTGTTTCTTCTCTGGTCATTGAATATTAATATTTATTATGCTTATGCAAAAATGAATATTAAATAACTGTTTCTAGCACATGAATTCTAAAAATGTGTTTTGTCTATAAACAAATAATATTTGTTCATTGAGTTAAAAGCCACTCTTAATCTGATGAATATTTTTTAATATTGTACGACTTGAGTTCAAATAATTTATTATTATATGTCAGACTTTCTGCAACCAATTCAAATATGTCTTATTGGTTATGTGTTATATTGTATCGGTAAAAGTTATTGAGTTTTCTATCAACATATTATATTGCGATATCTAAGTAAACAAAAACCTCAATTTTATTCAATTGAAGAAATATGATTTGATTATCATTATTGTTACTTTTATTTTGAAATGAAAACCTAATTTTTCATATATGATTTACCAATGTAATAAGAGATACATGAATTTATATTGTTAGGAATTGTTTTTAATTAATTTATTTATAATTCTTATTTCACATTCGTAATAATATAATTGAAATAGTAAATTAAGATTTTTCTTTTTAGGTGTTTGGAGTTGATCATGACAACCAATTAGACATGAGACTGATAAATACGTTCCAACAAGAACTGAGAAATTTATTAACTAACAACAATCATCCAATCATTGTAATAGCGTTGTATAACAATAAAACGTTGCCTGCAACATTACAAAGAATATTTTTAGAGACTATTATTGTGAAACCACCTTCTGAAAGCGAGAGACAAGAAATGCTCAAATGGATTTTTCAAACTAATAGTTTATCTATAAATATTGAAGTAATTGCGAATTTGGCTTCACAAACGGCCGGATTTTTATTTGGAGATTTGAAAATATTGGTTACGAAATCAATAAAAAACAATACTTGTAGGTCAGAATCACTTGATGAAAATGCTTTTAATGCCACTTTAGGTGAGATATTATCATTACTAAAATCGTTTGTTGATTTTTTATAGTTCCATATTATAATTATGTATAGGTCACATGCACAACTCTTATCGAGATAGTATTGGTGCTCCTAAAGTGCCCAAAGTTCTTTGGTCAGACATTGGGGGATTAGCTGATCTTAAAGAAGAAATTATGAAAAGTATCAAGAATCCAACTGGTGGATTGGATATCTTAAATTCAGGCAATTCAAAGAGATCAGGTAAGATCAGAAAATACTATTTATTAATACTTATGAATAACAAAATATTAATTATTATTATTATAATAATCAATAATTATTATTTTATATAAATGTTATTTATATAGGAATACTTCTATATGGCCCGCCTGGCACTGGAAAAACATTACTTGCTAAAGCAATTGCCACCGAATCAAAGTACAATTTTCTCTCAGTTAAGGGGCCTGAACTTTTGAACATGTATGTGGGACAATCAGAACAAAATGTTAGAGATGGTATGTTTTCGTTTATTTAGAATGCAATAGGAGTTTTCAGAATATTTTCTTAACAATATATCCCAATCTTTAGACTAATATGTTGACTTCATTTTATTAATATATCCAACATCATGAATAAGATTTTTTTTAATTACTATATTGATAATATTATGTTTTTTTTATAATATCCCAATCTTTTCTTAAAATTAGTATCAAATACTATTAATGCTATTCCAATCTATCAAAATCATTGTTCTGCTTTGTAATACATGAGAAATTTTCGCAATTTAATACGAAGTTTTAAAACTAAAGACAAAATAAATTTCATTTTGATACATAATTATATATTGATTTAAAGATTTTTCAAATATTCTAGTGTTTGAACGAGCACGAGCAGCTACTCCATGTGTAATTTTCTTCGATGAGTTGGACTCCTTGGCACCTAATCGTGGAGCCAAAGGCGATTCTGGAGGTGTAATGGATAGTATAGTTGCTCAACTTTTATCAGAAATGGATTGCATAGGAAATGGTAATTTCTAAATCATTTTAAAAAATATTTTATATTAACTAATAGTTTTATGATCTATCTGTTAATCCATAGACTCCGAGTCTCATACGTTATTTATTGTTGGAGCCACCAATAGACCCGATTTATTAGATCCAGCATTATTGAGGCCGGGTCGACTAGACAAGTTACTATATGTTGGGTTGTGTGAAACAATTAATTCTAAAGCCACAGTTTTAGAAACTATATTGAGCAAGTATGTTAAATGCATGTACTATAAAATTCATAATTTATTTTTAATTGAAGAATTTTATTATTATATTTTTTTATATGATAATTGTGATAGTTTTTATCTGATACTCTATTAATTTTTTTAAGGTTCAACTTAGATTCAGATGTCAAAATAGAACATTTAGCTAAGTTGCTTAAATATGATATGTCAGGTGCTGACTTGCATTCAATTTGTTCAAAAGCTTGGATTAATGCAGTACGACGATTGCTTCAGATTTCAAATCAAGGTATGCTTATATTATCTATTTTGTATTTAACATTTGAAATTAAAAAAATATTGTTTTATTTTTAACAACAGATTTGCGACACAGATATTCTGCCGCAGATGTTAAAGTATCGTTGGAAGATTTTGAATTATCTATAAAACAATTTGTGCCTTCAGTGAGCGCAAAAGATATGATCTACTTTAAGCAAATGATAAACGAAAATAAAACAAAAATGCATGATAATAAAAAATATGTGGGTGAAGGTAATTTAGATCATAGAGCTACATCATGATTGATAAAAGAGAAGAAATATTGAATAAACCAGTGACAAAGCTGAAATTTACAAAAATGTAAATATAAATGGTAATGTAAATATCAATATATAAAATGTAATAGGTTTAAATATAGATTTGATATATAATTATAGCTATTTATTCATATATATATATATATATATATATATATAATAAATATTATAATTATAATTTAAAAAACATTCTTCTTTATTCGATTTGTGTTGATAAATTGTCAAAGGCAGGTTCAGCGGTTTCGTAGATGCATAAAAAGTTTAAAAGCTTACCAATTTGGTGATGCAGTTTTTGTTGACGGTATGAAACAATGATTAGTTTCAAATTAACAGTTGTTTTCTCATTGTTATTTCTTTTGAGCAATTTATATTGATCATTGATTAATTTTTTTGCTCGGATAATTAATTACTGTTTGGATACGTTAAGATTCCTATTCTTATGTATGCGCAAAAAGAACAATGATTTACATTTGTGCTCAAATAAGAAATTCACAAATATAAATAACCAGAGAATTAGCTCGTGCGAAATTGTTTAGATTTAATAATCTATAATGTTGACAGACGATATTAGATAGTGTCCATAAGAGAAAAGAGCGTAAAATGATAGTGCCCGTAAACCACTAATCACCTTCTTTACTCGCACATCAGTATGAAAATTAACTAAATTTTAAATAACTAAAATTGTTCCGGGGCCTCTTGCGAGGTCCCCTGAAGTCCGAGGCCGTGGGCGGTCGCCGACACCGCCGACGCCTAGCGCCGCTACTGTATATATATATATATATATATATATATATATATATATATATATATATATACATATATATATATATATATATATTATATATATATATACATACATATATATATATATATATATATATAAATGTATGTTTGCTTCATCACTTATTTGATAATTGCTGTTATTTGTCTTGCAAGGAGAACTTTAGTTTTACTTATGTGAGATTTTGTTGACACGCATGGTGATAGTGTTGATAGTCAAACTTATTCATTAAAATATTAAAGGCCTATGAAACGTGGTTTAATTTTCAAACATAATTACTGTTGAGAATCGAGACTATTAAGATTATCACTAGGTGTAGTTTCATCAAATTTCTAGCCAATTCAACTTTTTCTTGTTAGTTCAGAATTGTGACAAAACTACTAAAAACAAAGAACATAAATATCCAAGATAGGCGAAAAAGACTTTTTTTTGATCAGTATGTTTTAGGATATCTATACCTCATTAATGAACTTGAACCGAACATGTATTATTTAGTACTAAATTTGCTTTAATGGTCTTATTTGTGCCTATAATAAAAAAGTTAAGTTAATACTCATCAGCGATCAGCACTTCCGTCCTACGAGCTGTCGTGCTCGAACTTCTCTTTACGTCGGATTTTTAGATGGCAACCCAATGGTTAATCCATCCATATTAGATTATTTTATAATCAGAATTTATCTAATAGGTATGATGTATTATTCGATTTGATGCAGCTGTGCTCGATACTGCTCGATATCGGATTGTCCGCGACGGGGATATTAAATGAAAGTGGTAATCGATAGAACTGAATTTGTGCTAATTGGTATCATATTTTTAATTGTACCAAAATTTTTGAAAAGCCGTACTTATGTATACAGCACGAGTCCTACGAATGTGGCTGGCCGTTACCGCCAGTAACGTGCTTCTGCTTCTTGGTTAATGCTTTAGATTTTAAATTTGTCATTTATACATAATTTCATAGAATGAATTTAAAATTTTATACTTTTCTTTTATCTGTGAATAAACCATTCTCGAATCGTGTTGAATTATTAACATCCAGATTTGCGGATGGTCTATGGGTTTCATGGCATTATGAAAGTACGTGGTGAAAATTCTGGAAGCTTAAAACTGAGGTGATGTTTTAAATAATTACATATTTTTTTACTTACCTATTTCGGCTAATTTGCCTATTTCAAACCATAATTAAAGTTTTTGAGTGCTTTATTATAGAGTCATCCAAAGAGATTCCTAACTATAGTATAGGGAACGAGTTGCGAGTATAATAAAGATAATGTTTGTTAAATTATAATAAATATATATGTAAGGTACGAAAAAAGTTCACATAAAGAAGTTTTGCTAAGCCTTATATTTTACTTATTTGATAATGTGTTATATTCAAGCCAAAAAATATATTGTAACGGTGAATGTATAATTTCATGATACTGTGACGCATAAAGGTTATTTCTTGTTTATATTAATCCCCAGTTAAAAGTCCTAACTAATTTTAGAGGTTGCTCGGCCATCCCCAACTGTCCTGCAAATTATCTAGTTATCCTTGGGATTGTAGCTACGCAAATGAAACAGACTTTACTTTATTATTAAAATTATTAAATTACTTGAGTTTACTTGTCTCAAACCTCGTTATTAATCGAAAATAATATGCAATAGATAACAATATATTAACTCTTTGAAGATTGCGCAATGCACACACAATTGAACTCTTAAACGTGGGTTATGTTAGGTACTATGACGATTTCTTCAAACCGTAGACTATAAGGCTACGGCGTAGAACCCTATTAAGAGCACGACTCTATGTATGATAGCAATATATTGGTAATAAAAAAAGTTATTAAAAAAATAATAACCATTAATTGTAATAAAAATAGAATGCTAAAAATATTTTTTTCTTATATTCATTAATTTAAAAACGTTTCCTTTTGGTTTGAGTGTCGCTTAAGAGTCAAAATTATGGATTTATTTTTTACTAATTTTTTATCTAGCAAAGTTTCTATATAAATTAATTACTTTTAAATATCTAATATTATAAAGTTGTAGACCAAATACAGTTAAAGACCAAATGTTGAAATTAATTTTCATTTTTATTTATGTATAATATTAAAAATATAATATAAATATTTTTTTACATAAAATAATATATTCACAGCCTTTCAAAATTATAATACAATAACAATACATAAATAATGAATATATCAAGTTAAACATTCATAAAAGACATCCATATTAATATTTACGGATTACATGCATATGTATTTTCTAACCGATCCTTATAAAATTAATGTAAAAAATCAACATTTTCCTATATAGCTTCAGGAAGTTCAGTATAATTAGAAAATTTCATTACCTAAATGCGATTTGAATAATTTTGAGTTCAAACTTCATTTGAAATTTTATTACTAATTAGCAGCCATATTTATTTTTCGACCACTTTCGAAAATTTTGCTGCCAATTTGTACACATTTTAATTTATAAATGGCAGCTTAAAATTTATAATTACTAACGTATTTTGTTAATTAAGTACATCTTGCAAATATTGAATAACTACAAAACAACTTGTAATTGACATTTGATTGTGACTATTTTTACCAAAATAAGTTTGATTAACTGTAAGTATTTTGGTAAAAAATAGTTTTTTTTATTAATATTTATATGAAAGTTATCTTTAATTTTATCTAATACGTCACAATAGGTTTCTTCTAGAATCAGTTCTCAAAATTACAATTTTTCTTAGGCATATAAACAATGGCATTATTATTTTTTGTCTTAGATACAAGTTTAGCGTCATATACATGTCTTATAATTTGATTATTTCCGAGTAAACTTATTTATCGTTCTTATTTTTGAATAACAACTTTCAAGAAGAATTTGTTGATGACATCATGCTGAACGAAGGTGTCTAGAACAGTTTGTTATCTAATTTTAAATGCGGGTATTCTTATTTTTTCAATGTGATTACTATGTCACAAAAAGTGAGTTTAATTACTACATATTATCAACAAAACTGTTAATTCGCCAAGTATACAACTTAATTAATTTGCCAGGCGTACAACTTGATTAAACCCGGAAATGGAATCATACATGCATAGACATATGTCTTTATATGCATAATGAAATATACATACATATATTGTTATCTATGTACCTTTATATAAATGATCATAAATATTTTATCAAATGCTTGATTATTAATTCACGTCGATTTCCAATACGATTACAAATAAATTAATATTATTTTATTTTGCATTAAATCGTTACAATTGCGGTTCTATTGAATATAGCATTATATGACGAAAAATAATGCCCCAATAAAATATTTATGATCAAATAATTTTTTTTTCCGGAGCGAGTAAGTTGCGAAATATTAACATACAGTTTAATACATGAAGGATAGATGATTTAGCTAATTTCGGTAAATATAGCGGCAATTTTGTATTAGGGAATCTCTACATCAGAATTTCATAGCGCACTTGAACATTATCATATTAAGAAAAAAAGTGCCATAAACTTTGACCGGCTGGTTCACATTTCTTAACATGTTTTTTGATCAAATCACATTCCGAGAATAATGAAAATTTTGTTTATTTTAACCAGGGTCAATATGAAATTCATGGTAGAGTGTTGATATTTTTTATATGGCTGACGTAGGTACTACAGGTCGCGTAATCACGTGCTGTGCGTGCGATTATCTCAACGTTACCGGGTGACTGATTGTAATCGATTAAAATAGGCAAGAATTTGCCGTATATATATATATATATATATATATATATATATATACTTTGAAACATATTGTCTTTACTCCGCATCATATACTTTATCGCATAAGATGCATTAATAAATCGTCTTAACGGGGTTTTGTATTGTGATAATTAATAATAAATTAACATTACTGTTACTTTTTTGCATATAATTTTCTTATTTTAAATATAGATTTAATGTAGGGGAGCTACAGGAGCTGTCTGCAGCAGGGGTAACTATTAACAGGCGTTTTTCAATAGGATCTTCAATGATATTAATTTTTTTTTTGTCTTTGGAGTAAACAAGTCTGAGCAGGTGCGTCATTTATGTTAGGTAATATAAAATTTATTATGATATGTTAATTTTAAATTTTATAAATCCTATTCTTTTTTAAATTTATCAATGTATAATAATACATTTTTGTAATTGCTACTGAAAATGATTAATTTCCACTTCAATTTCAATTTTTACGTGATTCGGTAGAGGAATAGTTACAGTATAAATATAATCAATGGATTTCAAGATATGAATTTAGAAAAAAAATGTTTAAACCAGCCCCTAGCTCTCCTACCATAAATTTATTTCTAATATATAAAGATGTATCAGATTAACAACTCAGTCTTTCCATAATTCTTCCAAGATATTATAACAGCATGTTGCCATGTCTGATTTTTTTTTCATTAAAATATTTAAAAAATTAGTTATCTACGCGTGCTCCATGTCGTCTTACATGTTCCTTCTTGTAGATTTATCATTATATACATTTTATATTCATAATTAATTAATCGTAATTTTATAGATTTTATCGCCTTTTTGTAAAACTATGTGACAAGTTGATAAGACAGACTTCTGGTCATCACTTATCGTTAGACTTATGGTCTACGTGATGAACGGGTAATATTTGAATACGTAATAAAAGTTACGATTACATATGATGACAAATGAAAATGCTGAAATAAAATTTGAGCATGATGTCAATATCAAGTAACTTCAAGATTGAAACAATATTGGGTTGAAAAATGAATTGATGCAATTATGTAATATCATTTTAGTTACTTATCATTATGTCATCATAGTTTATTCGAAAAGTTGATTATAATTTTGATAAATTAAATTGTTTCCAACCCGGATACTAGAGAAAATATTGTATGACATACTTTGATCTTCTTATTTATCAAAACGATGTGTCATCAATTATTTGCACTCAATTGTATCAAAGACAGATTCAGTCAACAACATTGAAACTATGACGTTGGAGGTTGCATTAAAAGTGAAAAAATCTTAATTTTATTTGTTTTAATTATCACTTAGATGATGATATAGCAATTATTAGTGATAACGCTACGCTTCGTGACATAATATAATGACCTTATTATTCCGGATTCAATATAGAGATTCGAATCAAAATTTGCGGGCATGCGCGCTATACAGAGATGATGGTGGAGCACGTGATACTTGTTAGATAAATTTGAAGATTATTGACATTTTTGGTTGCAAAATTTAATGCAATTATTAGTTTAGGATGATATTTCTAAAGGATCCGTTATGTTGGACTCCAGATCATCTCCAAACGACTACTAAATACCAAAAATGTCAATCATGATTATGTTTATTTAGATCCTTAAATATTGGCTAAAATTATTATTATTATAAAAATTGTAAGAAAAATTTTCAACATTTTCCTAAATTTGAATTTGAATATTTTTCTTTCAATTCCTTTTAAAATTAAAATACTTACAATATTTAGATAATAGTTTAGAGCTTCTCATATTCAAGTGATTTATCGTCATAAATCAATGTAAAATCTTACACAAATTTATTTATCTTTTAATTTTTCAGTCAATTACTTAAATACTAATCATTTCTAACATATGTTTTGGGCACTTGACAAGGTTGATGATTGTCGTTTTTGATAAATTGACACTGGTTTCAACAATGATGTAATCTTCATTAATCATTAAATACTTTATAGAGTTAGGTTTTGATAACGAAGTTTCCACATCCATAGTTGCCTCGTCATTAAATTACCTTGTTTGAATTTAATTTATATATCTATTAATACTTTTGGCATTTGATGATGAATTCCATCAATATTTATATTTTGGTCCAAATATCTCAGAAAATTTGGAATAGGCGAATTCTGAAGTTGTCTGGAATGATAACTCTCATCTTCAACCTATGTTATATGTGAGAGGTTTTTCGTTATTGTTTTTCATATGTTAGAATTTTGTTTAAATTTGTAGTGATCGATTCTTTTTAAATATTTATGGCTTTCCAAAATTGACATATTGGTTACACCACGTCAAAGCTTCATCGTGGTTATCACAGCACATTGGGAAGACTGTGTTGGACTTGGTTACTTTGGCACAACGTTGGCATAATTCCATCACTTCTTCCTGCAAGAGAAACAACATATAATGATTACTAAAATATTAGTAAATTATGTTATGGGATGAATTTGTCGGGATAATGTTCTAATTAATTATTCTGATGATAGCTTGATAGTTTATGAAAGGTCGATTTGGTATATGAAAGCTTAAATCGGGTGTGAAAATATAAGCCCCGGAGGAAAGCAAATCTAGTTTATTTGGTTGCCGTCCTGCAAAATTGCGGTTTTCACTAAATTAAAGATAAAATTGATGGCTTCTTCGATACCCAACAAGTGAAAAGATTTAGTAGAAATACTTACATCAGAATCGCACATCCCAAGATTTCGGTCAATTGAATTTTGATACGGCGATCTCCAAGTCGGTTTCGCCTCTGCCATCTGAATATGAGCGACCACTAATAAGGCCAATGCAAAAATGCAAATTTGAATCTAAAAAAATAATTCAACTGTTTTTAAAAACAATAATTAACTTGGAATGAAATTTATTGAATATGTCGATTAGATTAATTTCAATTGTTGTGCAATATGACGTGTTTTATTATAATTAGTCTACCGTATCTAAGCAAAATATAACTATCTGAAGAATTTTATTATTTTGATATTTGGCATTAAGATTACGAATATGGACAAAAATTTTGTAAATATTTATGCTTTATATATGTTAATGGGTAAAAGTTATTTAGATCAAAGTATTAGCCATAAAGTGTATCTTATCAATATGTGTTTTTAGTTTTATAGTGTATTTTATATGTAATCACAGTAAATAGCGTATGGGCAAGAAAACAATTTTAATTTAGAAATATTTAGATACTGATTGCAAAAGAATTTTGTCAATGGGTACTCAAAAATTTCGACCAGTAAGTTATAATATGGTTGGATTAATCTCCAAATCAAGTACCGAACAGTACGCTTTAATTCATGGTGTTTCGAATGACGAGTAAAAAGTGCGAAAAATTTAATAGGAAATTTATCTTAGTTTCAAATTTAACGTTCATAATATATTTTTCAGGGTTTCATAATACATTTTCTATTCAATATTTAATTCTTTTCTGATTAAATAGGCTTGCTCGTAGATAAGTGGCCAGAACCACTGGACCTGAATCAGAGGTCCCGAGTTCGATCGCGCTTTGAGCAGCCTGTTGTCAACCAGTAGTGACAACAGTTTTCACTTAAAAAAAATAGAAAGCAATGTGTTTCCCAGTGAAACTAGCCCCGATCCAAAAATGGTGCACTAAAATTGTAGTAATAAAATTTGTCACAAAGAGATGAAACAACTGTTTGGGTTGCCATCTGTAGAACCGACTACTATTAAGTACAAGTAATTAGCACAACAGCATATAGGACTTTTAAGTTCTAATTGTTGTTCAAAATATATTTATAAGAATATAAATAAGTATCCAAATAATAATGAAGATTAGTTAAGATATTAAAAATATTTTCAGTCAAATATCATTTAATATTATAATATAAATTACTTTCTTCGTAAATAAATTATAAAAATTTATTCATATTTAAAAAATATTTCAACTTAAGAGTTCTATAGGATTTTGCTTTTTTAATCTACCGTATCTAAGCAAAATATAACTATCTGGAAAAATTCATAATTTTGATATTTGGCATTTTGATATTTTATTACATATATGGACGAAATTTTATATTAAGCTAAATTTTAACGTTATGTAATTATATCTTTTGATCAAAATCAAGCAATTTTCAAATATTTTATTTATCAAATAAAATGAAGTAAATAGATTTAAAATAAACCGGCGTATAAGTATATTCGGACTTACTGTAATTTTGTGCGTTTGCTCCATCTCCAACAAACAGTATTCACTTTTATCACTAAATTCAAACAATTTGATTATCACCGGCAAAAATTCACCGAAATAAGTATGTTCACTGGTAAAGAGAAAGTGTCAAAACACGTGTTTAAATAAAATATATGTTTAATTGTAACAAGATGTTCACAGTTAGGGATCTAATCAAGACTCATGTAGAAATGAATTCGACGCCGGTTTATATAGCTGAGCTCTAGGTACGTGCATAGGCGTCATCAAGGGAAGCAGCGCTACTGGAAGGAAATTCGGACTTTGGACCGCGCATTGTGGGAGTACGGTATTTTCGTGGATTTTCCTAGAACTTAGTACTGCAACTTACGGCTGAGGTGACTCAACTGATAAAAATTAAGATTGTGCATTCCTTTATTCACATCGAATCCGAAGACTGTTCAATTTTTAGTTGGTTCTAGAAAAAACATACCGTCAGGCAATAACTTTTTAGTCTCTAATCGGACCGTCGTCATAGTTTATTCAAATTCAAATTCAAAGAAAATTTGTTCATAGTCGTCATAATTTATCAAAATCTTTGAAATATGCAATTGAAACGCACAAACTTTGGTTCTTAGAGTGGATAATCAATCTTTTATTTTTCAAAATTTAGGAATCTGCCAATACACATGCAAACATACATATATGTGTGGATGTATAATTATATATATTATATATATATATATATATATATATATTTAAGATTCCATGATGTAAAATATATGTATATTTTATGCTAAATTTTTTGTTCCCATATCAATATTAATAGATGTCAAAATTTACTTACACTGAAATAGTTTTTATATCTTGCATAAGTTTCTGCAAAGATTTATGCATGGTAAAAAAATGATCTTGTCAAATCTACCCATTATTTATTTTCATGTTTTTTTTTGATAAACCCGGGCAAAAAATTAAAAAAAAAACTAGTGGGGCGCATGGCATCGTGCCTTAAGGCAAATTGCTGGAACTTCCCGTACCAAAAATTATTTTTTTTTAAAAAGATTAACATTTTTGAAAAAAATTTACTCTGAAAAATTAGATTTTTGAGAAACTATAAATTTTTGACAAAAATTTACTTTTTTTTGAAAAAAAGACTTTTTGAAGAAAAGTGTATTTTGAAATATTTTGGAAATTCTGAACTTTTTTTCAAAGCAATTGTACTGCTTTAACTGCATAAAGACGAAATATCGAAGCGCGTAAGCGCAGCGCCGCCGTCTAACGGATAAGCATTGTTACGGAACCCATAAGAATGTAAACAAAATTTATACTTATTGTTGAAATCTCTATAAAATATCTGATAATTTGATGTGCATATGTTTAATGATCATTTTTGACCGCCAGGTGACATTTTTTTTTTACTTTTTTACTAGGCTCCGAAACCGCTAGACCTGCTTTCATGAAAATTTGATCAGTTTTTCATCATCTTGTTAATACAAGTAAAATGTTTTTTGAATTATTCAAATTGGGCGCTCTGTTCTCTTAAAAAATTAGTTACCGTTTTTGGCACTTTTTGCCTCATATCTTTGGAACGGCTAGACCTGCTTTCGCCAAAAACTAATCAGCACGTCTTCTTATCAATACGAATTTTTGAATTATTCAATTCGCTTCATCCGTGTTCCCGAAATCGTCGACGAAAATTTGTATCCGAACACACATACACACACGCACACACACACACATACATTCATTTTTTCTAAGGTATGCCAAAATATTCAGAAACCTCTGAAACGTAAAGATATATAAAAATTTTCATTTTCGATTTTTTGCGATTACTTAGATATTCCTTTTGATAAATCTGGTCAAAAAATTAATTGAAGTCAAGCATGTTTTAGATACCTATGATTCGCACAAAATTAAAAAAATAGAAGATCCATGCATTCAAGATTTTCGCGTTGCGTTCCAAATTGTTCTGGAAGCATTATTTGTTCCTAATGTTGGTTAGCAAAGTTGATATTGAAATATTGAGTTTTCAACTAGAAATATTTTTATAAAATTAGAATAAAAAAATGTGCATACTAAAACATTAATATATCCTTTGATAGTTATATCTACTCTCTAGATGCATGTCATGTGCATAACACAGCTTAACAACTTGTTTACAGAATCACAATTTTTTGAAAAATAGAAAATTTTCATTTTTTATTCATATTTTTTTTAAACCCCACATGTTATTTTTAAAAAAGTCAAAAAATTACAAAATTACAAAATAAATATTTTAAATATATATAATATTAAATTTTGAAATACTTCAATTTGTTAAAATAATTTCTATTAACTTCTATACTTTTAATTTTTAGGTATTTGATATTATATCATAACTATACTTGAAAATCCGGCAGTCATAGGAAGTGAGTTGTTTTAGATGTTATGAATTGAGGCTAAAGTGATTGTAAAGATATAAAACTGAATCGGCCTGGACAGACATTTTTTCTTCTAAAGTAGATGGATATGTAGGAAAATACTCTTGGCATAACAGAGTCTTCGTAAAGTTTGATTAAAGGTAATATATTAAATAATAATATACCAAGAGGGTATTCTGGTCTAGAGGCATTTTATGCGCTGTTTGGAAGGTCGTAAAAACGGATAAAATATATATTTACGAATTAAAAAAAGTTTTAATTATAAAAAGTCTGCAAATGGAGGGTCTCAAAAAATTGACACCTGGGCAATACCCATGATGTTTTAGCCTTCTGAATAATCCCAATAAAAATAAGTATATATATAATTAATCTAAAATAATGCTGCTAGCGTATGAACTGCGGACAAGCTAAAACTGTGTTTTATCACAAAATAGCGACAAGCTGAAAAAAAATTTTCAAGCTTTTTCATGACTTTTTTTATATTCTCAAATTTTTTAAATATAGTAAAAATCGGTATTTAGAGATGACCGTGGTTTATACTGGAGAAAATTCTATGAAGAAGACTCTGTAAAAATCTCAATAAATTGGTTCAGTAGAAGTTGGGAAATCGTGGGTATCGTGTTGAAAAAGACGATACCCACGATTTCCCAGTTTCCAGATTTTACAGTTTCCAGTAAAACAGCTATGTTGCCAAAAATAAATTAAATTTTGAAACATTTACCTACATACAACTTTTTTTTTAAATTCTAGACCAGAATATCCCCAAAAAATCCCCTTTTTCTATACCATTTTTGTCCACATATATGTATACATAACAAATATGTAGATATGTATAGACTAGCCTAGACTCGTCTAGGCTAGACCAGTTATAATTACAATAATAACTTATTTTTATGGTACTTAACGCTATACAAAATAAGTCTATTTCAGTTATCCTCTTGCATATTATTATACCTATCGGATTTTGTTTAGTTGCCTTCAATTATCATTTTATTCATTTTATATATAAGTATCAAAAATATCTCGAAATAAAAAATTGCCCATAGCGTTTAATGTTTTCCAATTCCCCGAAAATGGCACAATATACTCACAAGTTGTCTTTTGGGAGACAGGTACTAATTCCAAAAATAAATCTAAACATCAAATTTCATTCAGCTTCCTGTGAATTTCCTCATGCCTAATTAATTAATTTTCATTTAATTTTACGTCCCACGTTGCCCTACATTATTGTTCTTACAACTTGTGCACATTTTAAGGAATAATTGAATATATAATTAAACGATGTAAAGATGTAATGGAATCGCAGAATTTTACGTTAAAAATATACATATTTGATAATGACTTGGGCAATGCGGTATTCTACGGTAGTAAAGTGATTAAAAACACCGCTATGCGAACAAGAGTTACTTTTTGTCTATAAACGGCATGGAAAATTTGGCAAATAAAGCAAATACTTTATACATAAGAAACACTATTAACTTTAATTATTTAAAAAGGGAAGTATTTAACTTGTGGTGTATGGTATCGTATCACATACCTTATATACCAAATGTAAAATTAAATGAATACTAGTGAGGCGCATGGCATCGTGCCTTAAGGCAAATTGCTGGAACTTCCCGTACCAAAAATTATTATTTTTTCAAAAAGATTAACATTCTTGAAAAAAAAATTACTCTGAAAAATTAGATTTTTGAAAAAAAAGACTTTTCGAAGAAAAGTGTATTTTGAAATATTTTGGAAATTCTGAACTTTTTTTCAAAGCAATCGTACTGCTTTAATAGTCCAGTCATTTGGTGCAAAAAAAGGCTGTTGCCGGTACAGTACTCCGGGAATTCTGAAAATTGGTAATTTTATAGATTTCGAGGTGCTCTTTACGAAAATCAACTTTGCCACCTCAAATTTGAACGGCAAGTTGCCGCCATATTAGAAAAATGGCGTCAAAAAACAGTTTTTTTAAAATATCTCCTTTCTGGCTCATTCTACTATAAAAGTATTTATGTACGAATTAAACTAGGGAAAATTTCCTACAATTCCTTAGAACACCGTTTTTTTTGTAAAATTGATAGTTTGAGAGTACGGCCGCCTCAAAGTCTTTGCTGCTCTCGCCGTAGTATCAAATCTGTCCATATATGACAGCACTTCGAACTTGACCACATTCTCTCTAATAATTAATATTTTCAATGTTAAATTAAGCGAATAAGATCTAGAAATAAAATAATTCAAATATTTTTTAACACTTCAATGGCAAAGTAGCTATAAGTATACTTATAGCTTGAGTAGCACCTTATAGCTTCAAGTAGCTTGAAGCGTTAAAAATCAGCAAAAAAACAGAAAAATATTTGAATTATTTTATTTCTAGATCTTATTCGCTTAATTTAACATTGAAAATAATAATTATTAGAGAGAATGTGGTCAAGTTCAAAGTGCTGTCATATATGGACAGATTTGATACTACGGCGAGAGCAGCAAAGACTTTGAGGCGGCCGTACTCTCAAACTATCAATTTTACAAAAAAACGGTTTTCTAAGGAATTGTAGGAAATTTTCTGTTGTTTAATTCGTACATATGCACTTTTATCGTAGAATGAGCCAGAAAGGAGATATTTTAAAAAAGCTGTTTTTGACGCCATTTTTTCAATATGGCGGCAACTTGCCGTTCAAATTTGAGGTGGCAAAAATGATTTTCGTAAAGAGCACCTCAAAATCTATAAAATTACCAATTTTCAGAATTCCCGGAGTACTGTAACGGCAAAACGACCAAATGACTGGACTATAACTGCATA